CAGTGATCACAGTGGCCATGATCACCGACATCAGAAAGAGACAGATTTAAAAATACATGAGAGTTCGGATAAGGGGAAGATATCATGCAAATGTTGACATGGAGCTGAGCCTTAAAATTTAAATAGATTTAGGGGATGGAGACAGGTGAGGAAGAAGGGAGAGTATCTCAGTCAGGCCTGTCTTGGACAAAGGTACACTTTGGCCAAAACACCAATGGTTCCAGTCTACTTTGCAGCCTGATTAAATTTTACTTCCTTTTCCAGCACTCTGGGTTGCTTTGCAGTATCACAGCTTCTGTCTGCTAACCCTGGACATTAGCTGCCATGAGATTCTAAGAGCAAAAGGCCATGACCCTCCCTGGGCTTTCTTGATAAAGTGCCTCTCATTATCTCCCTTTTCCCGTAGTAGTTCACATCTCTTTCTGCAAGAAGAATTTCAGAAACATAGCTTTCAGGAGTGGTTGGGGCTCAAGAGGAATTACATGGTAACCAAGGAGCACAGGAATGACCAAGAACCACATGAGGATGGCATTCAAAATTAGCTCAGCTTACAGACCCAAAATAATGAATTCCTAAGGAGAACATGAAGGAAAAAGCAAAATCCATTCTCTAATGATATCCAGGTATCTGCAAATGCTTTCCCAATGTTCCCATAAAAGCAAACAGGGAGCTGGATTTGAAAAATAAAATAAGTTTACAAGCTCCTGAAAGGGGACAGTGCTTTTCTCAGGAAGACAATCTAAATTATGCACCACCTCTCTCACCAGCAACATAGTCCGGCTTCAACATTTTTCAAAGAAGCCTGCTGAACATCCGGTGGGCAATTAATGGACTACAGCAGCATGCTGCGATTACCCCTCAGAAGGCATCAGCAGTTCGGCTTTTGAGACATGATGTAGGGAACAGGGAAAGGGGACGTTACTAGAACCTCTGCAGTAAGTCCTAGTCTCCTGTGAGCCATGGCAGCACAAGGCAAATTACAGGAAAGGTAGAAAAATGATACTGAGAAGAAGCTGAGCTTTGGGTCTGATCAGTGCTGCTCTGGGAGGGAAAGACGAAAGCCCCCAGCTTAAGGCACCACATCGGGAGAAACAAATGTAACAAAAGACTGGGACAGAGAGAGAGTTCAGTATATCCGCGTAAACAAGATGTAACAATCCAAGAACAATGAGGTACTGAGTAGATGTTTGTTCCTCCCAGGATGTCTTCAGCTGGTGTAATCTTGTCCTGGGGAATCACAGCATCACTGGGTCATTGAGATCTCAGTTGTGACAGGGGGCCAAAATGGAATTATGTCTCAGAATGCCATAGCTGTGCTGTAGGCAGGAGAACTAGGCTAACCAAATGATTTTACCCTAAACTTATGTAGCATTGCTCCAGACAACATGAAATGTAGCAAAAGGTGCCCCTTTTCCCCTTCCTGCGGGGGAATGAGAAGGCAAAGGGAGTGGGGCTGAAAGTTCTACATCAGTCTTCTTCACTTTTTCTCCTCTCTAGTCTTCCTCTCACTTCTCTGGTTAGCCACTCAGATATGAATCTGTTCATTTTCCATTTAACAAAAGAAATCATGGCAAGATTCTCAATCTTCCCAGCCTTGACCCAAAGTGTGGCACTTTCCATGTGCAAAAATTCCCTCTATCATCTTTGGTAGACAGAGTCTAATACCCGGCTCAAATAATTTTTGTTTTGCTTTTCTAAATCAGATAGTTAAGAGTTAACTCAGATCAATTTCAAACAAGCTGATCTCTGGTATATTTTGCGTATTCATCACAATTGTTGAAAAGTGCCAAACTTAACACAGTCTTGCTTTATGTACATGACAGTCTGGCCCAGACTGACTAAGCACCGGTGGATTCCACCTGTTCTAATACTTCGCAAAACAGGGCTGAAATCCATATACTCCAAATTTCCATGACTCATGAAGTCTGCCATTATGGATACTCTATCCCTTTACTCCTTAAAAATGGAATTATTTTTCCACATAAAAGTTTACATCAATATCATTTACACGTCAGCCAATACAGATATCTTGGTAATGCCAGCTGGTCAGGTTTGGAATTTGACTACTGTCAAATCTAACTGGGAAAAAATGACTGATTAGTCAAAACGGTCGGAAGTCAAAGAAATTTCTCACTTTTTCAAAGTGGTCGGATGTAAGGCCGCATGTTTTTGTGGAGCTGCATTTTCCTTTGTGTCATCTTGGTAACCTTGAATCGCTTTTTCCTTTGTTGCAGAAAGCTCTCCTCCAACTCTCAGTGCTTACCTGGGATCCCAGTAACACACTCCCTTCTGCCAGGACTTCATCCCACGAGTCTGAATCTTGCTCTCAAACTCCTAGCTGTGAATGAACTACGAACACGAATGGGGAAAACTTTCAGGTCTTCCCAACTTTTCATCATTTCCTGCCATCTGGAGCTTACACCAGTGGGATGACTCCTCCACAGTTATCAGGAATGGACTTTCTGCATGGAACTGTAGATGTGTAGAGGTTGTGAGATGCCCTTGCTATGTGGGTTTCATAGCTGACCACTGGCCAAAGCAGTCTTGCCTTGTTACCTACATTTAAGGTCAGTAATTTTCATCTTGCTCTCAACTGTAAACTAGTTTTCCACATTAGAAGATTTCTTAAACTATCAATTGAAATAAGATTCCAAATTCACCCCAATAATCTGAGGCACATTTGGAGTATAATAGAACAGTAAATTAAATAAAAAACAGGTACAGATAATAACCAATGGAAGAGAATTATGGGAGGAAGAAGAAAGATGAAATGTGAATGATCTCCAGAATTAAAGAACTGGAGAAATGTGGCTAGTTGCCTGTGTAGTTTGATCTGGAATGCTCCCTTCCAATAGAGTCTTTTTGTTAGTAGTTAAAGAGTGTTTTCTGATAAAGCATAAGATGCTTACTGAAGGTAATATTCACTCAGAAACCTAGTATGCTATAAAGCAAATCTCACATCACAAAGGATAGACTAGTTGGAAGGGACTATCCCCTGCCGATAAAGATCCAGTATGAATTATAAGACTTGGTGGTTTCAGCCAAGACACTCAAAGAGAAGCATCTCCACTTAACATGGGAGCAGAGCGTGAGGGCCTGTCTGCCCCATCACATGCTGGGTCCTTCAACTAACTAAATCTCTTATTTCTCTTCAAAGGTCTTACTGGCTTCCCAGAACCCCCGAGAGTATTCAAATGATTCGCCCTGACTCTATCACATTCCACCTCCAACTCCCACATGTACACATAACGACTTTTAAATCTTTATTTATTTAGGGCAATGGAATGTTTAAAACCAAATTCGATGAAATTCTAATTTTATAAAAGATAAAATGCAATAGGAAGAATGCTCAGTGGCTTTCCTCTGCGGTCAGGGGCAGGTCCAAGGATCTCCAGGAAATGAGAGGGTGGAGTTAGAAATCATTGCTCTTTGTCTTCACGCAACTGGCATCCACAGTGCCCATGGTCCTTTCTCTCCTTGCGTTTGGAGCTTGGAATGATCACCTGAGTTTAGTCCTATCCATCCTTTAAGATCCTGCCCCCTCCAAACGCTCCCTCTATGAAATATTTTGTATCATTTTGACCAGACAATATTCATCTCTGCTTTGAATTTCTTATACAACTTTGGTTGTTAATAATCAAAAAGAATAAAAATAGAAGTGATCTCTTACTCTGTGCCAGCCACTATTCTCAGCACATTGCCTGAATTAACCTAATCTTCTCTCGCAGGTGCCTTCACCATCTCTGAGCCACGTAAGATTTAAATCTATTTTCTTGGTCTACAGAGTGAGTATCAGAACAAGACCGAAATCCATGACCTCGCTGTAGTAAATTAAAATAAAATAGGATCCCAATGCTTAACTATACCATGGAGCCTCTCTATGTAAGCATTTGTTATGCTTCAGACCAAGAATGAACCCCAAGTTCTAAAGTGCCCGGAGGCAGGGCTTTTGGAAGGCAATTGGATCCTGGGGGCCTTACAGCTAATGTGCTGTGGGAGGTGGGGACTGCTAGGAGCTGGGTCACTGGGAGTGGGGCCTGCAAGGCTCCATCTCCCTCCCCAGCCCCCATTCTCTCTGCTTCCCGACCACCATGACGTGAGCAGCTCTCCTCCACTCCATATCACGCCTGTCTTGGAGCCAGCAGACTGTGGGCTGCACTGCGAGCCAGAAGCAACCTTCCGGTGTTGAAGTAGTGGGTACCTGGTGTGCTGTGCCAGTGCTGAGAAGGTGACTAAGACAGCACGGATGCGCGCTTTGCTTACTAAGACACCCTCCATCGCGCGATTCCTCTGCACCGTTACCATGGTTACCGGCAAACTTTCCCATACCACAGCTGGATTATGCATTTGCAGAAACAACAGCCCTCTCCACTAGCATCTGTACTTCCTGAAGCACCAGTATCTGCAGATATAAGTGAGTGCCCGATAAATACTGTCCATCTAATTTACTATTAATATGCACAATAATATTGAGTTATGAATACTTGGGATTACTAGTTTTGTCACTGAAACATTTCCGTAGCTTTAAAAGAAGTATTTCTCATCCTGTTCTATAGGCAGAGGCATAACCAAATTGAGATTACCTTCCTTGCTAAGGTCCTGTATAATTCCCAAATCCCTACTATTTCTCCTACATCATATTAAAACATTTTTTGGTAAGATGACATGAAAATAGGACTTTGCAGAAAAACTTGCAAGAAGTTCATTTATAAGTTTCAGGTTATGCTCAAGAGTTTTGTTGCGATGAAGCCTGCAATCGTATGAGGAGACAGCTGAGGAACTCTTTGACAGCATTTTTCCAGGAACTAAATAGGAATTATCACTGCATTCTGTCATCAAACTGCATCCTCCTTAATGCAGAAATGTGGCAAGGGAACCTCCAGAACTGGTTCCGAGTTTATGATCAGCAATGGAAACATCCACCCCGATTTAGTGAAAGAAACCAAAGGGATCACCATTGCCAAGATCACCAGCTGGAACCCTGGGACACGGACACTGACCTGCTGTCAAGTGAGCTGCGTGGACCAGAACTTGGACCCCAGGCTTCAGCTCGAAGTGCACGGAGTTCTGGTTGAGCTTGTGGATCAGGACTTCTGATATCTGAAAGAAGAAGCTTCGCAGTTAGTGCCACCAAAATTGTCACCGGGACTGGGAGCAAACAGGTAGAGAGATATTTAAGTTTGTCACAGCATTCCAGTACCTGCATTCATTATATCCGTGAGTTATACGATTAGCAAGTACATAATCCACAGGTATAATTATATAATATATATTACATATTACATAGCATAATATGTAATATACTGTCTGATATAATTATCTAATATGGCATGTAGCATTTTATTAATATGATAGATAATTATATAACATGTAGTTATATGGTTTTACCTGTGAATTGTGTACATGAGTTTTATATGACTTTGATTTCTTTATTCCAGAGTAGGTACATATTTTTAAGCACAGCCTGACTATAAGACAAACTGTTAGTCAACAGGATATAAAATAGTTTAGGATCTTAAAAATTATCCTGTGTAACCTTAGAAAAGTCACCCTAGCTTGTTCAGAAAGCATTTGTAATACAGAAATTGACTCAAAATAATTTTATTTTTTAAAAGGCTGGTGTTGCAGCTCAGTGAAAAGGCCCCGGGTTCACTCCCCACTGCCAGCCCCCTCCAAGAAGATAGGAACAATTCACACATTGTGGTGAGATTGTTATATATTCATTTCACGTCCCTGTCCTTCCCCAGACCGAGCCTAAGGCTTTCGCAGAATGGGTATTTGTGACTATTATTGAATAATGAATATTGTTCTGCTGAAATTCTAAACGGCACAGTTGAAGCAAAAGTAGCCACGGCTTTGGTACCGACCTGCCATCCCTTACCCCACGTGCATGCAGAGCAGCTAACCCACTCCCAGACTGGAGCATGGGCTGGGACAGTGCTCAGTGCCATGGAACATTTAACCCAAGCATGCAGTGCAGAGCCTGGACTTAAAAGAATCAGGGTAAGATTTTTGAGACACAGTAAAATTCTGTTCATTGTTTAGAGGAGAAATTTGCTTTGTTTTGCTTACTTTTTTGAGGAATTTCAGAAAAGCTAGGAGGGCTAACCACACTCCTACATCTGGTATCCTTGCCTTCATATTTTATTTTAATCATCAGTTTTATGTTTCTCCTACTTTCCCTTTTGACTCTGTTGTTCCATTTCCTCCACTGAATTACAGGGTGATACCTCTGATGCTGTGAGCCATGCAGCAGGCTCCGACGGCTTCTTTTCTCTGCAGAAACTGCTAAACAGGTGGCCGGGACCCTTCTGTCCATGCCAGCCCTGCCTCTCAAATGCTGTCATTTGGCAAACCATGCAGGAAAATTATGTTAAAACTTGGTTGAAAACAACTTTTTCTCTCCATTAAGAGCCTCCTTTTCTTGAACACTGAGAAACTTCCAGAATGGTCTAGGTTTACTAAAGAATAAACTTCTAACAGAGAGTTCTGCAAATGGATTAATGGGTTTCATTTCTACTCTTTTTTTTTTGGTTCCAGGGATCAAACGTGGGACCTTGTGCTTGTGAGGCAGGTGCCGGAGCCACTGAGCTAAATCCCTGGCCCCTTTTTTAAAATTTATTTTGAGACAGGGTCTCACTAAGTCACTAAGTTGCCCAGGCTGGGGTCAAACATGTGATTTTCCTGCCTCAGCCTCCGTCAATGCTGGAATTACAGGTATGTACCACCACAGCCAGCTCCACTGCATTCTTTAATAAATTCCTTTCTTATTTTACGTTTATCACTCTGTAGCATTTTCAAGACATTTGATAATGGATTTTGACTAAAGGCCCTTCACAAAGGTTTTGCCTGTAGAATGCACATATGTAGATTTAATGTGCATATATATGTTCATATATATGCATACACATCGCAAATGCATACATGTGTATACATATATATAATTACACAAAAATATTTAACTCAAATATAGAAGACTTGTCAGAAGCAATTAAGAAATAGACCTGTTTTATAGAAACCATTCCATTGACAAAAGGGAACTATGTATTTGGAAGAGAATAATTTCTCACTTTCAGCCAGGTGAAGTGATATTTATTTCTTACCCTGTAAATGGCTTTTTCTCAAGTGAGTGATATAAATAACTAAACCAGAAAATAGAATTCATCAGAACAGCATATTTGTAATTTATAATCTCCAGGAGAGTCCCTTTGGAAAATAATTAACTTCCTTGACAGGTGGCATAGATCCTGGCCTCTGGCTTTATCTGTATCATTTACAAAATTAATCATGTTATGCAAAATAACCAGGTAACAAACACTACGTTTCATATCTTCAACTTTCATCAAAGGACATTCAATAAAGAATATGTACTCCATGGGAAAGAAATTAAGCACAAGAAACAAAACTAAATGGAATTTATATTTCATACAAGAATAACTTCAATTAGAACCATGTACTTTTCTACTCAAATTCATTAGTAGGAAACTGTTGACAGATTTTGACAATATTTTAAATGTTTAGCATGGCATCTGCAGAAGTGCTTCTCCTACATTATGTTCATCAGAGTAGAGCTGTTACAACTATTTTAAAGTATATTATAGAGGCACTGAGCATTTTATTTTGGTAAAGTTGCTTGATTCTGGCTACTTTTCCCAACACTACATGTCTTAGGTATTGGTGCTGGTATCTCCGTGTAATAGAACCGAGAGCTTACGTAAATTCCCCTAATTGACATGTGAAAACTTGAGGCTAGACTTCAGCTTTGATTACCAGTCCTAAGGCATTTCCATTAAAACTACTTTCCTGAACCCTTTGACAAAGAGAGGGCAGGAGATCTAGAGAGAGGTCTGGCTGAGTGGGCTTAGGAAGATGGAAAAATGCAGCATGTTATTACTTAGGCCGTCATCTCTGACTCATATGCGAAGGGCACACATTATAACACCAACCCCAAAGGCAGTGGCCAATATGGCCCAAGGAATAGCCCAGTGACGGTGAACCTTTTAGAGCTTTCAAGGTTACAAAAAGCCTGCTGCGGCATGCATGCCATAGGTTCACCACCACTGGGATAGGCCATTCCTCAGGACTGGTGCATTCTTTTCACCAGTTAATACAATCTGTAATCCTCAGAGAGTGTGCTATGGCCAAAACAGAAGAGGCTGCAATCTCCAGAAAAGTATGCCAGAAGCTTTCCTGAGGAGAGGGAATGGTTGCCTGTAAGGACTCCAGTGAAATAAGATGTGATTGCAAGGAGACAGAACCTGCTGAAGCCAACTGAATTTCTTTCTTTCCCTTTCTCTGTCCAGAGATCAGTGTGCTTTCTGAGCAAATTTAATTTATCCTTTATATTGTCATCTGCTGCTGCTGCTCTCCTGGACGGCCCATTTCCTAATCTACTTAGGCTGAACAATCACGGCCAGAGAAACAACATACTATTCTTGGTACCTGCCTGTTCTGTAGAAGATGCCTATGATTCAAATGCAGCCCACACTTCATCTGAAGTAACGCTGCAGAGGACGGCAGTGACTCAGTACCGATGTTGCAAAGGCTGCCATCAAAATGACATGGTAGGAGGGACTTGCTATAAGAAAATCACCAATTTGCCCTGTTTTCTTGTTCACAAAAAAATGGAAGATGGCATATGGAGATGGCAGCCAGAATCAGCTAGGTTAGGTTGAAGTAAACTCTCAGGGAATGGATTCAACAAGCCTCCTTCTTGTTCGTACATCATGTTCACTGCAGGAAGCGGCTCCGGTGGACCACTCAGCCACCGCTCCAGTATCGCCACCCGCTACACCTTGGAGAGGAAAAGGAGTTTGAAGGGTTTAACACCAGATTCTTCTGGTTGGAAATGACACACAGCACATCTCCAAGCTCACTGGCCTGCTGAAGTCGGAGCACTGTCCTCTGCGTACTCAGGAGGTGGTGGCCTGAGGACATGTAGTCAACAACGATACGATCACTAATGAAATCATTAGGACAAATCACTCTCAGATTATTAGGACAACGAAAGCATCAAATTTTGATATGTGGGAAAAGTTTGAGAACAGAGCAGTTGGTAAATTTATGAAACGTGTAACTCAAAGAAGGGGTACAAAGTGAAGAAATACATTTGAAATGGACTTTGGCAAAAGCATCAATTTCAAGGCCATGGCAGGCCAGATGCAAACGCTCATCCATGAAGGTGGAAGAATGGAAGTCGCAATTCTGGTACCGGGCTGAGACAGAGCCTCGGCTGAGGTGACCCCTGCGCTGACTCATACGTCACTCCGGATCCCCTCACAGAAGTTCCCCTAGAAGAGCAGAGTAGGGATCGCCCCGTGGTCTTTAGTGCAGGGCTCTTTCCGAACTCCTACAACTCAGTGTCTTGACTAAGTCATGGGAAAGCAGGAAGCCAGCTATTAAACCCTGTTTATCACTCGCACACCCTGGCCCATTCCTTCTTAGCACAAAGCACCCAGGCTAATTAAAGTGTTTCCTAGATGATATACCGGAAGAAACACACTGGTCATAAACATTCCTTTCCTTTAAATTCACCATCATTACCTTTAAGCTCCTCTATCTTCCATCTTGTTCTTTGTGCCCAAGTCTTACCTACTCAGCTTTCCGGTGCTGTCTTCCTATTTCAGTGACTGACCATCCTCATGGACTACAGAGCAGATTTATCATCCAAATCCTTACACCAAAAACTCAGAAAAAAAAAACAACTCAGGACGGCTGGGGCAGACCATTGAACACACAGAAGCAGTCTTAATTAGTAATTACATTTCATACTGAATGTTCAGTTTCTTAAAATGTTGGCAATACACTGCTCCATTTTCTGTTCTGCCTTTCACTGAATTTTGGATTCTGCATTTGTCATGTGTGAAAAGTAATACAAATTGACAAGGAGGAAATCCATGATTGCAGTTGACATTTTCCCTTAAGTTTTTCATTCATTCATTCATTCATTCATTCATTCATACGATGCCACACCTTCTGAGGATTCTGACAGGCAAAACACAGAGCTTCCCCATGTCCCCAGCTCAGCACCACAACCTCCACAGGGCCTGGTTGTCCTTCCTTCCTCCACGAGAGGCAGCTGTGAACCTGTCACGCTGAAGGCCTGGGACAGAATCACAGGAGTGCAGTGCCTACAAAGCAGAGCTTGCTCTATACCTGAGCAGCTGGCCTCAGTCACTCAGGGCAAGAAGGCTTTTTCTTGCTCATTCAGAGAAAGACTGGCAGAACCTTCCCAGAGAGAGGTCGCTTCATTAACCCAGCCATGTAGTCCTGATAACAGGGTCACGTGGCTCTCACTGGGAGGAATGCTCAATTTATTTCATGGACAAGATAGCTCCAGCCGAGCCAGCATCTCTGCTCCCATGGGAGGGCTCTCAGAGGCTGTGCAGGCACAAGAGCCAGGAGTCCTCTGCTGGGCTTTGTGTTCCCATTCTCAGGCCCATAGCCAGCATCCTGGTGCTGCCTGTGTATTCACAAGGAAGGGGTCAGGCATGAGGAAGAGGGACCAGTTCACACTTCCCAGGTACATCTAGGACTCAGAGGATAGCCCTCGAGGAAGGGGTTCATTTCTGTGGTTGGGATTAGCCTTGCATCTGACTTCAGTTCTGTGTACGTTATTACAGTGGGAGGCCGTGGTCTCTGCCTGCCTTGTGCCCCATGCCCGTCTGCACTTCTATCTCAGGATGCGGGCACCAGCTGAGAGATGCCCACCTCATCCACACTGCACCAGTGAGAACCATAGCCTGGAGGCCCTGCTGGTGCTGTTGGAGGAGAGGCGCTGCCTTCCGAATGGGGTCCTAAGCTGACTCCATAGAAGCTGGGGCTCGCTGAGGAAAGGACTTGAAGACTCATCTACAAAGCAAACTGCAGGTTCCCACGGCACTCACTTCACAAAATCTCCAGATATGTTCTGGTCTTAGAAGTCCATTTCATTATTGCGCTTTTAAACCAGATAACAATATTCCCCACAACGATGATACTACCTTCTCCTGGACTTTCTGTAGCCATTGGATTGGCTTTGTTTGGGATCCAAGAATATGCTAATGTACAATTTCCTTAATCTCTAGCTTGGGGTCTTATTTTCCTGTAAAAGTACAGAAGTATATCTTCTACTATAAATCTACAGAACTGCAAGCAATTAATATACTTGCTTTTCTTTCCTTTATTGTCCTTGACTTCTCCCCTTTGTGAAATATCATTCATTCCTTTTCTTCCTTACCCTGAGTATCCTCTTCCAACATGTACTTGACTGTACCAAACAATTCATTTAATAGGCCTAAACACACTGTTGCATTTCCTGAACTGCTCCTATTACCAAGTGAACATAGCTGCAACTCATATGCGTTGGCCATCCATGGGGCATCTCCATAGCCCGAGTGCTTTGCTGTACCATTTCTTTAGTCTTCTCTAACACCCTACAGGATTGCTGTGAGTCTCACAAATTTATTTCACTTTTCCAGCCCTTACTTTTCTCAACTGTAAAAGACAACCATGGATATCAAGCTCAGACTAGAAATCTGCTTTATATTTCTCCAAACTTGTACTCATTCTACCAGAATGGCTGGACTGGCTCCATGGGCTCCAAACAGTGAGTCACTCAGCTTCTCACCGGGGCCCTGGGGTCAGCCTGCTGCTCAGAGGGCTCACTGATGGCCTTGAAGGAAGCACAGTACTTGGAAGAAGGCATAAAGGGAAAGAAGCCGTAGGAAGAGGCAGGCAGAGAAAGGCCCAGCCCTGGAGAAGTGTGAGCCATTTCATGGAACAAAGCTTTTCTTTCCACACTTCCACTCAAGTAGTCATCTGGAAAATACTATGCTTTGTAAAAAAGCCTGGAAAGGGTGAAAAATAAAGATGTGCAGAAGATGTGGTGCCTGGGAAGTAGCCGGCTGCAATTCTCCACTGTCTTCCATGCTGGATTCTAATCTGAATTTCCTGGGAAACTCCTCAGATCTCCAGAGAAGGAACATCGGCAAATGCCCAACCTTAAGGGCCTTGTGTAAGGATCTACTTCCCCCTACAGTCTCAGCGCTGCCGTGATAAAAAAAAATCATTTTTTCTCTTACTAAATGACAGTGTGGATAATAATTGCAGAATGTGATGGAAAGCCCAGCCCGGGAGTAGGGGTCAGCTCAGAAGCAATTTCACTGTGTCACCCACTGCCACCCTCCCACTGAACTCTACTCGGAAGTGGGGTTCAATGGGGCTTGGGAGACAACCGTGTCCCTCGTTACCTGCGCATGGAGAAAATCAGAGTTATGAGTTCTCCAGCAGGAGAGAAAACTGCAGCTGAAGGGAGGGTGTGTGTGCAGGAGGTGAGCCAGGCTGTAGTTTGGGGCTGCTGTTAATATGGAGATTTTCATGTCTTCAGGAAGAACTAAAGACCTCAACCTGGACTAGGGGTTTACGCAAAGCAAATTTAAAAGCCCCACCTACTCCATATCCTGTACTTACTTAGTGGTTGAGAAGAATCCCTTTTAAAATCGATGTTCCTAGAAGAACTGAGAAGCCAAAATCATTAGCTTTCTAAAGGAACAACAGACCAAGACTGGTAATCATTTCAACTGAATGGATGAGGACAAAGAACATCATAATCCCCATTATAGATACAGGAGAGACTTGGAAGCTAAAATGAGAGAAATTAGAAAAAACACAAAGTAGGAAGGAGGGAGAGAGAAATATACGCACGTGTGCACACATACACACACAATCACATGCATGCACACATGCACACGGGCATACAAGGGTACTGTAATACTCCAGAAGCAGCAGAGGAGGGGAAACTGGATCCTCACACAGCCTTGCAGGTGATCAGAGTCAATGTCACTCATTTTATTATGAATACAAACCAAAGTTTCTTAACATGGTGATGTTTGAACGATTAATGATCTGTATAAAACTCATACCTCTTAAGAAAAATACAACGCATATGTTATTCGGGTTGCCTGGTGACGTATTTCTTTTTGGCGCTGAGGATCAAGCCCAGGGCCTCCCACAGGCTGGCCAAGGGCTAAACCCCAGCCCGCACACCCTCCTGAAGAAAGTAGGCAAGTGAGGTATACATGGGTTCCTCATCTATGTGCCATTCGCCACCTGCTTACATTGGACACTTTCCCCTGGCACACACAGATGTATGTAGTTCACAGTGAGCCCCGTGTGCATCTCTCTGCCATTGTGTATGGTAAACGACACCCTCTCTGTGTTTTGGGGAGGCTGCAGTTAGGTCACCAGAGTATGTGAGAAATGGAAAACCAGAAAGACAAAGACTCCCCAGACAGATGCTCCCCTCTGCCTCAAACCCAGACTCCCCAAGATCCCTCGGCATGGCTGCGTGGTGGGCCTGGCTCACACTGCAGAGGGAAGCTGCTTGACACTCCAGAGGGACTCACCTGCTCCAGGCCCTCTGGGGACCTCCCACTCTCTCCCGCTGGGTCCTCATAGGGCAAAACAAAGAGCTCCGCAGCAGTGGGCAGGCCAGGCAGCACGGCCACCAGGATGTGCTGGCTCGGGACTCCAGTAGCCTGAGGAGGAGACAGAGGTTTGGGTGAGCCCCGAGGGGGGACCAATGAGGAGGGACCAATGAGAAGGGACCACATGTGGGGACTCCGGGCAGGAAGGCCAGGAGAGGCAGTGCTGGGCTACACCTGCAGGCTCGGCTCGGAGGCACACAGGCTGAGGTAGCGCTGGCCGGCTTCACCCGGGTGGCCAGCTTCTCTGTGTCTGCCTTCCTTAAACAAAAGCAGGGATAACAGCAACGTGTGCCTTTTTAGGGAGCACTCTGGAGACGAAAATGAGTTACGCAGGAGCACATACGCTGGGAATGGAATCCCAGCTCTGTTTCCTAGAGGACTACAGTCGGTGGGCCATGCCAAGGAGATGACCTTCTCCCACTGACCTCTACCATCCACACTTGCCAACCTGGCTTCCCCTTCCCTACCCCACTGGAGTCCCTCTTCCCAGCCACCAGCACATCCAGGTCACCTACCGAACAGGCTGCTCCAAATTCCAACCTCATGACCCACCCCACTGCATGAAGCATCAGAGCCCTTCACTGGGCCTCGCTCACTTCCCTGGCACTCAAGAACTTCCTCTGTCTTTTCACCTGCTGTGTACTGAACTTACTCCTCTGAGTGCTTTCTCTAGGGGACTCTCGGATCAATAATCCCTCTTCATGGTGGGTCAGGATACCACTTAATGGTTTCTGTTGGACTGCTAACAAACATATCCCAAAGCTAAGTTCTCATTTTTACCCTTAAAAATCTTCCTTCCGCATTTTAGGCAACAGGAAGCAGGCCTCTCCCAGATACCCTACCTGGAACCATGCACCTGACACTGGGCCTTCTCTCTAGTCATGCATGAGACCCTGAACAGATGATGTCTACACCGATGATCTTACTAGCTGCTTCCTGCATAGACATCCAATCTTGTGCCCAAAATCAGCCTTTCTGAGCCCTGGAGGTTCACATGGGCCTCCTGGCTCCAGGAGGCAGCTACACTACCACCTCCTGATTCACCTCCCTGAATGTGGATGTGGGTGCTGCATCTTTCTCCTGCTCCAGGAAAGATGGGAGCTGTAGACAGCAACTCAGAGCCATTTAGGAAGAGCCTTGTGAGACACACGAAGCTCGGCACAACTGTGGAACCAACAATGGTGACACCAGTGTCAACGCCCCTGTTCTCCTGACACCAGTGCCAGCTCCTGTACAACTGTCTTATGTTCCTACTGGACTTTAAACTCAGAGATTGAGTTCAAAGCATCCTCATACACACAAATGTTGATGAAACGACATTCAATCTAAGATGTCTTTGTGACTTATAAACAGTAGAAGCCGATTTGATAAGGGCATAGCAGCAAATTTTGTATCAAATTCTGTCACAAAATGAATAGGCAGAAACCTACCGACAAGCTGGCTGTAAGCTGTACCTCTTGTCAGGGCTATGGGGGTACACTTGGCGAAGTGGCTCTGTGGGACTTAAAAAGTGTCATTAGGCACCTCAGGACAGGGTGGGCTGCTGTAGACTAGGGGCTGGGTCAGCTGCACTTGGGATCGGGTCTCCAGCGGTCCGGGGAAACTGGAAGGTATTAAACACTTCCCCCAGTCCTCTGCTCCTCACACTACCATCACCTCTGCTGAGGATGTTGAGCCTCAGCACTGATTCTGCATTTAGCTGATCAGAATATGCTTTGGCCGAGAAATATTGATGAGCAGTAATTTCCAGCCCTTGCACAGCTGGTGGGGAGGTGGGTATAGGCAATGAGTATAGAGGAAAATCATCCCAGAAGACTGGTCACTGCTGAGTTAACGCCTGGTTGATAAATTGCCTGGGGGAGCTGGACAGCTGTCCAGGAGACCTATAGGGATGTGGGTGCTTAGAACTGCAGGAGACAGGCAGGGAGTTCATCGCAGTGCATGAGCTCTCTCTCAGATAGCAGGGGAGAGAAACCAGGTGTCAGCCCAGGGACAGCTCCAAGGCCACAGGCCTACTGCAATTAGTCTTGTAGTCTAGGAGCTGCACCTCCTGGTGGCCACGAAGACGAACTATTGTAACATCCTACGTGGCCGTAAAAACTGAAGAGACAGCAGTTATTTGGTAGCGCCTGAAAATACCCTCTCCTCATCCCAATATCCCACCCATCCCCTTTCCCCTTGTAAAAACACAAAGGAGAGGAATAGACTAGAATGGTTAGGAAATCCCAAAATCAAGATCTTGAGCTCCACGGTCTGACTTCTGCCCGGACTGGGCAAGCTAGCTGATGTCTCTTGGTTGGGTTTCCTCACCGATGAAATGGGTATGAGCACAGTGCCAATACTGGAGGTTCTGTGGATTAAATGTGGATAAATAATGCATGCACTAAGAGGAGGGCCTGGAGCGCTGTAAGGCCTAAGTGATATCAGCAGAGGTCACAGTGTGACCAGGCCCGCCCTGGGGCTGCATGAGCCTTCTCCTCTCCAGCAGGGGGCATCTGAGCGGCCCTGTTCCACTGTCATTTGGTATGAAGTGGCACTGGGAGCAGAGAGAATGTATAGAAAACTAAACTGATTTTCCTCTGGGGCTTAGCAGATCCTGTAGGGGGTCAGTGCATCTCTGCTGTCCTGGGTTTTACACTCGGACCCAGCAGCCTCACGAGCAGCCAGTTTCTCCGCTGTCTCACGGAGGCAGAATGGGGAGGGGAGAAGTGCTCGCCCGGAAAGGCGCCTTCTCCAGTTATCAGCGGCATCTGCACGGAGAGGGTGACACCCGCCTTGGTATTTGCCTGGACACTTCCGAGGCATAGGAGGTTAAATCGCATCGTAAATACCCAGATTTTAGACCCAGGCTCTTGACTTCAATTTCTCAGCTCTATCACCCGTTATCTGTGAAAGTTTGGGAAAATTCCTCCTCTGAACCTGAAGTCACTTCCACACACAGGGGATGATCATGGCTTCTTTCACGGAAAGAATGTCTCCAAGAGAAGCAGGATGAAGCGTCACGGCCCCAGCGCTCGCATCCAGCTCTGTCCTCCTGTGACAGTGGGGACCGGGCCGCTCTTCCTAGTTAGTCTCCCTCCAGGACACAGCAGGCCGTGTCCCTTCCCGCAGATGCACAATGGCTGATGGCACAGTGACGACAGGGCGAGCTGTGACCGCTGCCGTGCGACTCTGAGCCGAGGGTCGCTGTCCTCCTCCTCTGAGCAGAGCAAGCCGCAGAGGCAGCAAGGACCACGCAGTTGTCGCCCCCACCTCCCTGGGGCTGCAGGGCCCGGGCCAGGCTTCCAGGAGCCCCGCTCCTCTGGCTCCTCCCCAGGAAGTTGGTCCAGGAAAGCGGCCAGGCGTCCAAGCCCGAGAAGAGACCCCGGACACTCACCTCCACCAGGGACTTTTGGATGACACGGCCGATGTCCCGCCTCCACTCGGGGATGTCCGGGTTGTAGTCGTCCAGGTTTGGAGAAAAGGACAGGCGGAGGGAGCGGAACTCCTCTGGAACACGACAGGAGGTGGATTACTCCGAGCTAAATCATCCCGTCTGGATGCAGCGCTCTCAGGGAGGGCCCTTGCCACCACACCCACCACAGACTCTTCTTTCTGAAAGACCACTTCACCCTGCTCTCCCTGTTACCTCAGCAGCTCCTCCTCATCGTCTAAACTGAGGCCCTGATCCCCGGCTCTGAAGACTCGGCATCATCCCAGCTCCAGACCCTGTGTGCTGTGCCTGCAGGGAGACTGTTCTGAGGCCCCTGAATGCATGGCAGGTTTACGGCCCCAGGTTCTTTGCTCAACCTCTTCCTCTACTTTAATGCTCACCACCCACTGTTCATGTGTAAAAACATTCAAATTCTAGTAAGTTTTCTCGGATTGACTGTTCTTCCCATGGCACACATTTTCATAGCACTATTCTGCGTATACAGACTTCCATTATCAGTCAATTCTGTCTAATAATAATTACATGAGTATATACTGATATTTAACCGACATTTATTATTATTGTAGCTCTTCTACTGTTATCTTTTGATTGTGTGAAAGTCTTCTTTAATGGAGTTTTAAGGTCCTGGAGCAGGGACTCTGTCATTTTGTTTCTGCAGCCCCTGAGTTAGTCTGGGCGCTCAGGATGCAGGAGGGCGATGAAGGGCAATGGCTTTATGAGCAGAGCTGTCTGCGGGAGGCAGTGGGGAGGAAGCCGGCAGCCTGAGACCCTCGGGCACCATGGTACCCGGGGCCCTGCGCCCAAGTCAGGGGCAGTGTCCCCAGTCCAGGGAGGGTTGGCCGGGGCCCGAGGCCTGCGTCCTGCACCCTGTCCCATTTTTCTTCTCCGTAGTTAGTGTTATTTGATCTTTTCGTTTGTTTCCATTGTATTTCTCCCAAAGTGGAAGATAAGCTCTGGAAGATGAGGACTCTGTTCCTGCCTTCAGGGCAGTGCCTCGCATTCATCAGAGTTCCCATTACTCTCTATGGGTCATTTAGTTAGTGAATGTTTATTAATTAAATAAATGATTAAATTATGTGAAGGCTCTCCTTTATGTATGCATTTACTTATTTAATAAGCAATTCTTTGAAGCCTGTCCAGTGTTTCCATAGGGATGGTGACATTACCAATGACAAAGAGGGATTTAGGAAGCGTGTGGACCTTCTCACAGTGCTGAGGAGCTGGTGGACACACACTCTGCAGATTCTTATATTAGAGGCTGTGCATCACACCGGTCACCCTGTTTCTGTTTTATCAATCACTGATCATCTCTGTGAGTATCACTGATTCTGCTCTGGTGGAGGAAATATAATGCACATCGATTAGCAGCGTGGTAAACGAACAACAGCAACGTGGTCCTACCACTTCTATAGGAATGATGGACACTTTCATTTTTACCATCTACTACTAATGCGGTTCCTATCCATCTGAATAGCTTTTATGGAAAAAAAAAAAAAACTACCAAAATTCTGTATAAATCATTTTACTTTTCATTTTCAGGGAACGATCTTTCCTTTCTATTTGAGTAAATTTTCATTCCACCTAATTCTCCAGCTGTATTCAATTTCCCCAGCTGATCACAAAGTTGTTCTGCACAGGTGTGTTTAGACCAATGTTCAGTCTATGACCACGACATCCGGTTGCTGTGACCCTCCCATCGCTCTTAGTCAAGCAGAGGTATATTGGGGTGTGTGTGTGTGTGTGTGCAATACAAATTTATGCAAGAGATTTAAAAAGTATTTAGATAATGAAAGATTATTTTTTTTTTGGTACCAGGGATTGAACTTGGGTCCTTGTGCTTGTGCAGCAGGCGGCGAAACCACTGAGCTAAATCCCCAGCCCTGAAAGATTTTTTTTTTTAAAGTTGAACTTTTCAAGGAAGCTTCAGAACTAGGCATTTTCTTTCACACTGGTTTTATCTATTCAAACACCACCCACATTCTAGAGACATGAAGCAGCCCTCGAGATGAAAACTCAGTCTACCCTACCTGAGGTGAATGAGCAAACAGTCTACCTGCACTAGACTTAAAGAAAACAAAACACACTCTCCCAGGGTCCTGTGACTCGTTTTGTTGGTCAATCATATTACTCTAAGGAGGAAGCCAGACCTATCTCAGCTCTTCCTCAAACGCTGTCCCTGTTCTCCAGTGAAGGTTCAGAAAGCCTCTAGCGCCATGCTGTGGACAGCCTCCCAGCACAGGGCAGCAAGGGTGGGCGCTCACCATACACTGCGATGGTCTTCGTGTCCTGCAGGATGGCATTCCCAGCGGAGACCTGCACTGTGATGGTGTTCATTCCCTCTGAAGTGAACTTGAACGATATGCTTCCCTCCAAGGTGATCAAGGGCTAACATGAACAAGACACATTTACGGGTGAAACAGTGACTGCCCTGAGCCACCTACAAGCTCATAATAACTGCACAGAGGCCCTTGCTGAGGCAGCAGAGAGGGACTTTCTATGGCTCCTCTTGTCTAGAGTCCAGGACAGAAAGGAAGCTGCCTCTTACAACCATGACCCCATGTGATTCTGCCCATTCCTTGGGGATGTGTCTCCTCCATCCTTCTATCATTCCGATTCAGGGGTGGGCAGATCAGTAGGTCCTGCTTGTTGGTGAGACACAAGCCTCTCTTTCTACATAATCTACTCATGTGAAGCAGATCCTTAACTCAAGAAACCGCCCAGATCAAATGAGAACACCACGGGGCTTGTATTAATCCAAGTTTAACAATGGCCACTGAAATCTATGCACCACTGGGTATTCCTCCGTATGGTGTAGCATTTACACAAAATTACAAGGAATGCAGAAACCCTGGATGCCAACACTGGACACTAGTTAGACAGAAGCGGCCTCGGGCACGGGCTTCCTCTGAGAGGCACCATGGACACATTCCCAAAGGCTGACTCTAAGAAAACCACTGCTAACTACACTGTGGATCGTGGATTGAGGGAGTGGTGGCCATAATGCAATCAGATGTCAGAGTCCAGGAAGAAAACATTATTCACCTACTGACCTCCCTAGACTCACTGGTCACACTTTTTCCATATTAATTAGTTTTAAAATAAAAATACACCTCACTTCCTACATGGCAGAGGCAAAACAAAAGCCCAGCATAAGAAGTCTTCTCAATAGGGTCTGTTGAGAATTTGGTTTTATTTTAAATAAGAAAAGAAAATTTAAACAATAGGAGACACAGGAAAAAGCTGGTGGGGTGTTTCCCTTCTAGCACTGGCTTTCAGGAAGTCACACTGATGTCTCCCCTTCCGCTGTGAAGAATGGACCCAATGGGCTGACTGCACATGTAGCTTCAGTAGAAACAACGAGGCTTTCTTTTGGTAGAGCTCCTTCTCACTGGCAGGCTGGCGGCGGGTCTGGCTGCCCAAGGCCTCTGCTGCCAGGTATGCAAAAAGCATGCCTCCAGGTACAGCTGCACTTCAGCCCTAGAGCAGAAATGCGCTTCTACAAAAGGAGACGCCGTGCACCTGAAGGCCAGGCTGCACAGAGGAAGCAAGGCCGGAAGATGGGGCCTCTGGGGAGGGTGCCGCGGGGCTTTTGTCCTACTGCCCTGCGGACAGTTGGCGTCTGAGCACATAGTGAGCCCCAGCGGAACCAGCCCTTTCGTGGAGGAACGAAAGGGCAACGTGGAGATCAGAAAGCCTTGGGTTCTGCCTTTGTAGGAAGGGGCTGCAAGGGGCGGGACCGTGCAGACCACTTCCGCTTCCCTGGGTGGAAGGAAGGGCTGAGTAACTGAGGTTTAAGGGTCTGGAGTTGTTTAAAAATTACAGGTGACTTTTGAGCACGGGGACTGGCTGGGGGAAACATAACATGTGAAACTGTCCTAAAGACTTGGCCCATCTGCTTCAGCGTGCCTGTGGAGGCAGTGTGTGTGTGTGTGTGTCTGTGTCTGTGTGTGTCTGTGTGTGTCTGTGTCTGTGTGTCTGTGTGTGCCTGTGTGTGTCTGTGTGTGTCTGTGTCTGTGTGTCTGTGTCTGTGTGTCTGTGTCTGTGTGTATGTGTCTGTGTGTCTGTGTCTGTCTGTGTGTCTGTGTGTATGTGTCTGTGTGTGTGTGTCTGTGT